GAAAGTCGGGTAGCTCCGGACGGCGGGTAACTCCGGACACTTGATGTACAGCTTAAACTAAAGAAGTTATGTAACTTTTAATACTACAATAAAATTATTTGAGTGAAAATATGGCGTATGCAAAATATCTATCATAATATGCCGAAGCGAATGACTGGGAGGGCAAGATTTTGTTTCCGACCACTAGAAGAGCGACGTACCATCGTATTTGATTCACATACTAATATACCTAATTTTTATGTAAACTAATAACATTTTAATGAATAAAGTTACATTTTTATTTACAATAATTATTTAAAAAAAAATTGTTTAAAACTTTAATTCACTGGTTTTAAACTAGTATTTGTGAATGAAGTTGATCGGGTGCTATCCGATGCATGTTTTGAGGGTGGCTCCGGACAACGTAATTCGCTTACATATTAATAATAAAAAAATTTTTTTATATAAATATTAATACATTTAATATAATGCAAAAACCTAATAATAGTAATTTATTTAACTCCAATAAAAAAATTAGATTTGAAAAAAGTGTTTTTAAAGTGTTTACTTTCATTATAAAAAAGCTTATGTTTATATTTTTAAATTATGATATTTTCATTCTTATCCCTTATATATCAGAGGCAACTTTTGAAGACGATTTTTTTTTAAATGTGTCAAGAATAGTCCAATGCTAAATTATTATATATTACATTTGTGTCACACTGGTAAAAAAAAAAAAAAAAGAGGTAAAATCATGTTTAAACTATGTGTCCGGGGCTATCCTCCAATTTTGAAACATGCCTTTTTTCTAACATTTTTCTTTTATGTTTTGTATATTATTAAGATACACAATAATTATTTTTTTGTTTCTAAATTGATAGATGAATGTTTAAAAAACGTTTTTTGACACAATCTATATTTTCTATAAGTGTCCGGGGCTACCCGACTCTCCCCTACGTCATCTACTTAAATATCCAAATTTCAGAGTCTATTATCTCCAAAAAAATATTCCCGAAATTTTTTCTCCTAAATCTAAATTAAATCCAAAAACATCATTAGATCAAAACATCATTCCCACAAATATTTTAATAGATTTTAAATTTTCAAATATTTTTTCTAAACTATTTAAAGCCTCATTCATAAATGGAATATTTTTTTATAATTTAACATTACCTTATGATATTCCAATATATAAAAATGAATCTGCATATGTACTTATTATAGACCTATTTCTTTTTTATTTAACGTTACGAAGCTGCTTAAAAAGCTTATACATTCTAGAGAGTGTATTCTGGAGATATATATATGTATATATATATATATATATATATATATATATATATATATATATATATATATATATATATATATATATATATATATATATATATATATATATATATATATATATATATATATATATATATATATATATATATATATATATATATATATATATATATATATATATATATATATATATATATATATATATATTATTTTTTTAAGATGTTCACTTAAAATTAACATTTCATTACTACATAATCATAATAAAAAAATTAACAATAGTAACAACAATTAAATTAATAAGAAGTCTACAACAGTAACATTAACAAAAAGTACACTACAGCAAATTAATTTAAGTATAGAAAAAAGAAGGAATTAAAATTTAACAAAAATGGTTTTTTTTACGTTTATTAATTGATAAAATTTTCAACCCTAGCTCACACTCTCTTACAAATCATAAGTTTTGTTTAACTTTTGACAGAAATACTGTAAAATATAAATAACAAATTTATGCGAAATAAGAAACCATTTTAAAATACCTTTTTGCTTCGTTATATTTTAATGCTCATCTTTTTATAATAATTTAATGTTTAACATATTAAATTATCATAAAATTACCTTACTAAGTATGAGTAGCAGCGTTGATAAAAAATACTTGCCCAAATGTTTAATAAAAGAATGACATATCAAACAAATGTCAGTTTCCCTAACTCTGTCCACACTTTAATTAAGACTTTAATCCTACATAGGTTCTTTTGTTTTGTATATTGTATATATATAATATATTATATATTAAATATATATAATATATATATATATATATATAATATAAATTAACATATTACATATGCTCTTTTATTTAAAGATACCAAGTGGTTAAATAAAAAAGTATATCAACGGTGGGGTATTCTATAAGATATCAGCGGTGGGATATTCTTTAAGTTATTAACGGTGGGGTATTCTTTAAGTTATCAACGATGGATTATTCTTTAAATTATCAATGGTGTTTTTCCTATTCTTTATGAAAAACTAACAGTTTTTGAGTTTCATGAAAAAATAATATGTTATTTTTGAAAAAAAAATATTACATTTAAAAAAATTTTACGTTCAAAAAATGTTACTCTCAAATGTGAAGATTTTCCAAAATTATTTTCGCACAAAAAAAAAATTATTTAACTTCAATATTGAATTTGCACGCATATCTATATGCTGTAATGATAACACAATATTTTATTCCTATGTACAAGTCCTGTAGAATTTAGTCTCAACTTTAAAGTAATTATCATAAAGAAGTGTTATATATCGATAGAAAGCTTATTTTTTTCTATTTAAACGAGTTGTTGTTCTTGTTTTTATTTTGGTGGAAAAAAGTTGAGACGTCGCAAAGTTTATGCGTTAAAGCACATAAAAAATTTTGCTAAAAAATTCAGTCAAAACTCCGCAAAATGTGCGTTTTAAAAAGTTAAAACGCACATTTTGAATTCTTAGACCATATGCCCCAGCTTATTTTATCAAATGAAATTATTGTAACATTGCCTGGGCAAGCACTTTTCTGTCAAAACTAACGCATATCTTAAAATTAAAAACAAGCAAGCCGTCTCATATTTAATACCAATAAAAACACCAGTGACATCCAGTGCATAGAAAGTTTGGAGTGTTGAATGTTTATCAATTAAATATTTAAATTTTCATATTCAGATAAAAAAACTGCCAAATATTTTTAAAGGCATTTTCTTTATTACAAATCATAAATATCAAACAAAACATTCATTGCATCATTATCAGGTTCTAAAAATTTTGTTAAAACAATATGATTTCTCAATAACATACCATGAATCACATTTTCTCAATAACATACCGTGAATCACATTTTCTCAATAACATACCGTGAATCACATTTTCTCAATAACATACCGTGAATCACATTTTCTCAATAACATACCGTGAATCACATTTTCTCAATAACATACCGTGAATCACATTTTCTCAATAACATACCGTGAATCACATTTTCTCAATAACATACCGTGAATCACATTTTCTCAATAACCGTGAATCACATTTTTTTTCCAAATAATAGTAAAATTATAATTATAATTCAAGCTATTAAAAATATTAAAATAAATAGTTATTGATTATCTCAAATCTTGAGCATCTTACATTTAAATTTTAAGAGTAAAATTTAAATTTAAAAGTGTTTAATATTATTTTACTAAAAATTTAAATTTTTTTATAGAATAGCTTATTATTTGTTTAATATGTAAATAATACAATGGGACTAGATAATAAAACCTTTGACTTTTGCCTGCCCCGGTTTATCTTAACTGACGGTGCATCTTAACTGAAAAATATTGTAAATAATTTATTATGAAGGTAACGAAAAAATATGTTTAAATATTGTAAACAATTCATTATGAAACGAAAATGTTTAAAAAAGAAGATTATTTTAGCAAATGTTTCAAAAAAAATTCTCTTAATGATCTACAATCTAAAAGCAAATATTTTTATATTTTATAATACTTCTAAATGTGATTATTTGGAAAAGTTACAGAAATAATTTTAAAACACGCTCACGAGGAGGTTTATCTTGAAAGCACACTCACAAAAATCTTGAAAACCATGAAAATGCAACTTATTGAAACAATTTATTTTATAAAAAACATCTAAGAAGTGACCGTTATTGTCTGCATCTCTTTCTTTATCTTCTTTTTCCACATACGTACAGTGAATACCATGGCATGCTGTACACGATGGAGTGCAGCGCAGTCCCATTTTTCTGCAGGAACATTTATGTGAACATGGGTTTTTATTGAACAACCTTTAGAATATCATTGAACAATATTGAACAACCTTTAGAATATCATTTGGACTTGCGTTTTCGCCTGTTGCTATTGGTGACTACATAATGCCATTTAATTATCTACATTTAAGCGTGTCAAGGTCACTGTCACTTAGATATCTCCAAATATGCGCCTAATGGTTTACTCTAAGTCCATGGTATTAGGCGACTCTTGAAGATGGTGAAAAAACAGAAGAGCCAATTTGAGTCTGATCAGAGATCACTATTATGTAGTTTTATTTATTTTTATTTTATATATTTGTATTTTTGTATTTATTGTAGTTTCAATGTGAATAAATTTAACAGATAAATATTACGAATTGAAGCATTTACAATTTTATCAAGCAATTTATCATCGCCGTAAAAATATTTGCTGCAAAGCACAAATCTTTGGTTTTAAGTGTTCTGAAAACTAACTTCTTTCTGAAATCGTGATTGGCTGATCTATCACGGCCTGTAGATTCGTCATTGAAGCTGTCTACTAAAAGTAGGCCTTTTCTCCTGACACACTTCAATAAGATTTTTAAAAACCTTCCGACTATTCCTTGAATTCCACGTAAGTATAGTACTCAGACCTCATTGCACAAACATAAACATAATAAAGGGGTATCAATAACGCTTATTATTTTTGCGTGCTTTAGTATAATTAAAAAGTTATCAATTTTATACATTTTTTAACGCTTTAGTTTAAGTTAATAAAACAAACAAAAGTGCTCTATTTTTTCAGAAGCAGCTCTGCGTTTTGCACATTTTTCTCAGTTGAGTTGGAAACTCAGTTGAGTTGTAAACTTTTCAGATTCTTCACAGTTGTAAAGATTGCTTAAACAATGTTTACATTAAATTTAAATATTAAAGATTTTTTGATCCTTGTTTTTACAAACAAACTTTTTGAATAATAACTTTTTTTTTTAATATGAACTTTAAGAATGATCATTTTTTATAGTTATAGGATTTAATATTAAGTTGTGAGATGAACTTTATATGCATTTTATTTGCTTTGATTGGATTAAATGAAGCTGCTAGCTCTAAAGATAAAGAAAGATATTGTGCAGGTAATTTTTTGTATTGGTTTTTATATGTGTGTGTTTTCTTATTTTGTCAAAAGAAAAATGTAGTTTCATGGATTGTTGCACACAGTGTGTCTTTTAGATCTGGAAATTGAAGAATTCCAGGGAATTCTAGATGTCTGAAAAAAAAAATGGATTAATTAAAAAAATAGGGTTGAGTTTTTAAATAATTTAGAGAAATCAGGAAAAATGGCTCCTAAACTTCAACGACTTATGTCAGTTATATATCATACACATAAAAGGATACTTTAAATGTTTATTGTATTTGTGTTTATATGTTTGTAACTAAAGAGCGTTTTTCTAAAAGAATCTGAGACTATTTTTTCTAAGAATATTTTTTTTTGTAATTTTAAAACAAATCTGGGAAAACTGGTAGAGGATCAAAGAAATACTAGGGAAAAATTAAAGAAATTAATCTTAAAATATCGGCAGGTACTGTGCTACAACCAATGGTAAAAATTATTCAATGGACATAGTTGTAATCATTAGTTCTGGTTAATTGTGAAAATCTGGTTAATTCTAAAACATATTTTTTATTTTTTATCAAAATTCAAACTAATAATAATGGTATCAAAACTTGTAATAATAACCATATACCATTTATGGTTTTTACAAAGAAAAAAGTTTATCTTTTATCTGGTAAGAGAAAATAATAGCTAATGCTCTACCTGACGCATAAGCACACATACGCTTATAATATTAGTTACTCAGCACTTACAGAAAAAGTTATAAAAATAAAGCTTGAGATGACTAGATACTTAGTAACCCTGAGAGGACACAGTCAATATATGTCTTAAGGTACAATTTCAACTGACTTAAAACAACTGGCTTTTAATGTAACTGATGGAAATCAACAGCTTTTAAATTCTTATGTACATGATTTAGAGTAATAACTACCTACATTTACAGTAATTTTTCTAAAGCCTTGAAGTGTTTTGAACACACATAAAAGCCTTTTTAAAGAAAAATGTCAGAAAAGGTTGAAAAATAGATACAATTATATTTAAAAGTTTTATTTAGAAAAAATAAAGATTATATTTTAACCCAAGTAAAATAACAAAGCAAAAACATAAAGTAAACATAAGTTTCTTTTCAGATAAAGAAAAACTTCCAACTTATAATATCATTACAATCAATACTTTTTCAGTAGTCATGAATTTTGAGTAATTAAATGCTATAATCAATCAGTTGCAAATATTTTGGTTAGAAAATAGATATAATAAAAATGTTCTTGTTATATTGGCTAAAATGAAAATAAAATGCTTTTATTACAAGACCTGAACCCTAAGTAAATTTTGTACACTCACTGCATCTATGCTAATAAATCGGTTTATGTATGGCACACTACAATATGACTCTCCCTAGTAATCCGAATTTACTTATCTCCTATAAATCTCAACAAGCCAGTGTGACAGACACACAACATTAGGAGTTTGATAAAAAGTCTACCATTCTATTATCTACTACATTCACCTTTTTCCCTACCCCTCTACTCTAACCCCATACTCTTCTAAGCATGTTAAACTAAATTCATAAATTTAACCTAAATAAAAATTACATCTTGAAATCTACAATTCACTTATAATAATATTAACTAAAAATAAACAAAACTATATTTAAAACTGGTCATTTTTCCTACCTTAAAGTTACTACTCTTAAAAACAGCTAAAAAAAAAAAAAAGTCAACTCTAATTTGGATATAGCCGGTGCTCGAAGTGGGGCGGGATGCCATCTCGTTATTTTTTTAAATTTTGAAAACCATCCCACTACCTTTTTAATGCATATTTCGGTGGGATGCCATCCTGGTACATAATAAATCAATGGAAATTTTATTTTATTTTCCTCCTATAAATAAACTTGTAAAAACAATTTTAAAGTGCGGCAATATGCGAATTTAAATGAACTTAAGTCTCAGCAGTTATTTAAAAATTTGAGGTAGAAAGTTCAAAAACTAAATCGATAATTATAAAACATTGCGTCTTTTCGTTTGTATTTTAAATAAAAAGTTACCAAGCAACAAAAAGCGACATTGGCTTCTTTTTTTTTTGTTAAAGTATCATTAGAGTTTTTTTTTTGGTGAAATAAAATATAGTACACAGTAGATTTACTCAATATTAACTGTTATGATTTTAAAAAAATTTACTTATTATAAATATGGATAAATGGTTAGCAAGCAGAAGGAAAAGAAAGTTAAGCAGTGATATTTCTAAAAGTAATTTGGAAAATGACACTGAAGTAAATAAAGAAGTGACAGATTTTTTCGAGTATTGAAACTTGTTAATTCTTTCCTCAATGTGATGGTATTTTTCCAGATTACTGGTCTAATTTACAGTGGAAGGAGAAATTAAAAACATTTGACTGGTTTACAGTTTCATTAACAGGTCTTGGTTGTTCTGTTTGTAAGTCAGCAAATAATTAAGGTGCCGAAAAATCTCAAGGAATAAAATTGGCTAGCGAGTGGACGCTTGGCAACATTAAGGAGTATGGCGAAACAAAAGAAAAAAAACAACAATCAATGAGGAAAAAGCTTTCAAGCCATAAACTATCAGTTGTAAACAAAAAGGCTTGTAAAATTATTTCTCAGTCCAAAAAAAACACCATAGAGATGTTTAGTTCAAATGCAAATCAATCAGCACGAAACTACCTACCGCATATTTCGCATTGTTTATCACATTGCAAAAATGAATCGTCCATTTTCTGATTTGAAAGAACTACTATTATTACAGGTAGAAAATGGTTTAGACATGGGACGTATTTTACAATCTAATCACGCATGCGCTGATATTGTTTATCACATTTCAAATGAAATGCGCACTAAGCTTGTAAAATATATTCTTCATAACCATAATAAAGTAGGGTTTATGATAGACGAATCTACCACGATGAGCAAAAAGTCTGCTCTGTCAATCTGCTTGAGAGTGAACATTCCAGAAATAAATATTGTCAATAGTATTTTTTTTGATCTTATCGAATTAACAAATACAAAAGCCTCGTCTATTGCAAACTCTTTTGTGCTTTACACGATTTTGGTTTTGACAACAATTTTTTATTAGGTAATTGGGTGTCTTTTGTGATGGTGCTTCTAATATGCTTTGCAAAAAGGCAGGCATGGCCCAGTTACTTTTGAATCAGTTTCCTAATTTGATTTTATGGCATTGTAGCAATCACCGATTAGAGTTAGCAGTAAATGATGTTGTGCGCGATATCTTACCAATTTGTCACATGAAAAGCTTTTTTGATAAATTATATTCCATTTACAGTGCATCTTCTAAAAACAAAAAAGAGCTAGAAACTTTTGTTATGGCTTTAAGTGTAAAACTAAATTCTGTTTGGAATAATTATGCAGCATTGTATAGACACTTTCATGAATCTTCATTGGGTTTAAGGCATAATGGAGGAGATAGAGCCCAATATGCAGGTCTTAAAAATTTTAAGACCTGCATATTGGGCTTTCATACTCAACATGGGGCTAATGCTAGATGCTTTAATAGAACTAGAATATCTTTCTAAAAAATTACAAGATAGGCAAACTTCTTTACCTGATGCACATCGGCTTATCACCTTAAAATAACATATATTTCAATCAATGAGAAATAATTCAGGTAAATATTATTCGCAAAGGCAGCTTGCAGCAGAAAAGTTTGAATTTAAAGGCGTCAAACTACAGATTGAAAAAGTTTCTATAATTAATCAAAATTAATTTTTTAGTAAACTAAGTGAAAATCTTGATTCTAGAATGTTTACAACTAGAGCTGCGCATAAATTTTTACAAGACAAAGAAAATGATCCAAACAAAAAAAATAAAATAATTTAATAAAAAATTTACAAATATTTGATAAGCCACAATGGTTTGCAGACCAAGATCCATGCTTTGGAGATAACGATATTAGACAATTAGCAAAAACTTTAAATATTTGTGAAATTACGGCAGTCAAAGGGTTTCGTGAATACATTTCCAATGGTGACTGTAATAAAACTCCTAATGATCTTCAGCCTCTGAGAACAGCTATAAATACCTTGACTGTTTCAACAGCTGAATGTGAGCGTTCTTTTTCTACTATGAATATAATCTTATCTTCCTTGCAAAATTCTTTAATTATAAAAACTGTGTAGAGTTTAATGTTCATTTCATTAGTAGGCCCACCAATTATGCATTTTGATTTAAAGGATTATGTTATTAAGTGGTTTGGGAAAGGACATCGCGATGCTAATTTGAGGAATTGTGAAGCGCCGACATTAAAGTCTATAATTGAAAAAAAATTCTAACCCAATTTTTTTTCAATTATTTAAAAATTGGTAAATACAAAAAAATAAGACTTGTTTAAAAATAAAATGTTTAAATATACCATTGTTTTTTGATTGCTTAATGACATTTGATGTGAAACTCAACTCAATATTTTACGGTGACAGTCTCTTAAAAATATAACAGACCTCAAGTTGTTTTTTTAATATAAATTTTTTACTATAGGGATACTCTAAGGATTTATAATTCCTTTATTTAATCTACACAAAATACGCAATCTTTAATTTTAGGATAGGTGGGATGGTGATTAGAAAATATTAAAAACCACCCCGCTACCTTTTTTTCCCACTTCGAGCACTGGGTATAGCTAAAATAAAAATTTGGAAATAAATAGTAGTGGTTTTGTGCATTTAATAAATTCAGACAATAGACTGATTTAAAAGAAGAGTATGATCCTGTCCCTGGTCCCTGGTAATACCATGTTTTTTATTTCTCATTAAGTGTTTGTCAAAAATAGGTTTGTCAAATGTTTTTATGAGTACAATCTTTTTTTTAATTTTTTAATTAAAGTTAATTTGTTTCCATCACAGCAATATTAAATATGTACTTTGGCCTGATATAGCTATATCACACTTATTGCATGATTTATATGCTATATCAATCATGCTATATCAATCACAAATTGGCTACAAGCACAAGATACCAAATGACTTAAATCAGCTGATTTAAATTAGGTAGAAAAACAAAGAGCATATATACATCGACTGACTTTATTAGGTAGAACATTGAGGAAATGTACATACATTGACTGACTTAAATAAGTAGAACATAAATGAAGTGTTGCTACATAGACTGAAGTTTTTTGCTTGCACATGAAATTTAAAAAGAAAAAATATTTTTTAAGTTTTCAAACTTTTTCTGGTCTTAAAACTTTTTCAGATATTGAAATCGAATGAAACATTTCAGAAACATCATAAATCATTTTTTCAAAAAAAATGATGAAGCACAGAATCATGCTGTATGATGGTATATGCATGTCAGACCTATCAGTCAACACTTTATAAGGCGTTGACTGAAAGGTCTGACTAATGTGATTTCTGAAAGAAACTACCTTCAGATAACACAATATTCTGCTTGACTCGTTTTTGTATAAAAATGACTTATGGTATTTCTAAATGACTAATTCAATTGTTATACATATATAAGCATGTCAAACTTATTTTTAGCTTGTCACCTGGTTGTTGATGAAATAGAATATGAAATATCTAAAGTTGATCCAGCAAAAACTTTAGATGTAAGAAGGTTTTTTAATTTATTTTTTGTTTTTAAAGTTAAAATTGATCTAATTGCATTGTAATGCTTATTTTGTATTTTAAATTTTTTATTATTATTATTATTATTATTATTATTATTATTATTATTATTATTATTACTATTATTGTTATTATTACTATTATTATTATTATTATTATTATAATTAACCTTTTAACCTTTATTTTAACTTTTTTTTGTTCAATTAGATAGAAAGTTTTCGCGTAGATCCTAGTGGAAACCAAAAAAGAAAACAGGTATAGCTGATTCTGTAAATAACAAACCAAAATTAATTTTTAATTAATTAAAATTAATTAAATAATTGTAGATAAGCTATGCACGCTCAGAAACCCATTTAACTGAGATTACGGAAAGTTTATGTCAAAGAATGAAAGATTATGCAGAATCGGTTGATAAAACTGGAAAAATTAAATATGTATCAACTAAATCACGTGATGGTCGACCAATTCAATTGGAAAATGTCTCGATAAGTGCAGCTATTGGGGACAAGCTACAGAGTATGGTAATTATTTTTATTATTGAATTAGTTTATTATTGAAATTATAAGCTTATTCATGTATATTTATATATTCTATATTTATAGAAATATGTTTGATATTTATGGTAGATTTAACATAACATGAACTACTTTTAGTGCGAAAATATAATTGAAGATAATGATGAAAATTTAGTTGAGTTCTTTAAAAAGCCATCTGATGAACCAAAGTTAAAGTTTTGCTCTGAAGTAACAGGTTTGTTTTGCATTTTTTTTTTTTTTTTTTTAATTTTTTTATACTACATTTTGCTATTTTTAGTTTTGCTACAATTTTTATTGTGATTGTTGTCGTTACTAATGTTGTAACTTTAATGTTCATTAATTTGAAAAAATTAAATAACTTATTTTTATTTAAAAATTAAAACTTATTTTTATTTAAAAATTAAATAACTTATTTATTCAAAGTTATTTAAATTTTTTATTTTTTTTTAACCTAAATGTTAAAAAATAAGTTTTTAACATAAATGTTAAAAAATTATTTTCTTTATTTTAAACTTTTTCAACAGTATTTTTGAAACTAATTAAATTCGTTTAAATTTTCAGATTTATGTCCTGATGATAATGAAGAAGAAAACGATGACGAAAATAAAGTTGAATTATAGGTTAAAAGTAAAAAACTTAATTAAATCTACAAATGTTTAATATTATAACGTTGACAATAATGACGTCAACAACGATAGTACAATATCAAAAGCTTTTCAGGGTTTGTCAATGATGATATCAGTGGATTTTTTAAAAGACCATGTTAAAATATTCATAATTCAGTAATACTACGTGATACCGGTTTTTAGTAATACAGGTAGCGGTACCGGTATTGCTAAGTAACATTCAACATGTTTTATACAAAATATATAAATTTTTTATAATTTATTAGTGTTTTTTAAAGTTTAAAAAGCTATAGTAGATCCGAGGATTTTAGGAGTTTAGTAATTTTCAAAAAGTTATTTACAAAACTTTAAAAAGTATAAAAGAGTAAACAAATTTAATAACAAATTTAATTCTCTAATAAAACTATAGAATTTAATTCTCTATTAAATTAAACTAAAATCTATTAAAACATTTTATCAAACACCGTGGTCATGACAACCTCATGTGTATCAAGTATCGTGATCATGACAACCTTAATCATCATGTTCAATCATCCTCGTTATGACGTAAAACTGATTCTATATTAGCCAGGTTCTCTGTGGCATATGTATAGTGCTTTTTTCTAGGTGCCGGAACTCACCTGTATTTTTCTTATATCTCAAAAAATAAAGCAGAAATTAGCAATTATTTGTAAATAAAATTTATACATATGTATAGCCGTTAGTGGGCTCCCCCACCCATTATACCCAATAAGGCAGAAGTAAAAAAAGAAGCCGTTTTTCCATGTAAGAAGTATACATACACATGTCATTATTTAAATAAAGACATGTGTAATTTATTTGGGTGTGTGGGGGTAGGGGTTATAGAGGTGATGGGTCAAGATACTGTATATTAGATACAAACTGTATAATGTGTACCAAACGAACTAAATTTTAAGGTATTGTAGTCTTATTGACAGATTTCTTATTTCAGTTTCTCCAAATTTTACCTGAGTGTTGATATTTTCAGGCTGTTGTTTTTGGTCTAAGATGCGAGTCCATACAGCTAATTTAAAATATTTTTTCTAATTTAAGCATCCTAACATCACTCCTTTGCTATCACTTTCTACAGAAACTAAATAATTTTTCAAATATTTTTCTGTCATCCTATAAAAATAGAAATATTTAAATAAAAAATCAAATAATCTTTTAGCCATAACACTTTTAAGTTGAACTAAACCCAAAAATAAACTGATTGGTGAATTCATTTCACTGTCCATTACACAACACCAAATGTACTATATCAGTGTCAATTTTTGGCTTATAGTGTAAGCTTGTAGTGGTTGGCCATCAATCATTAACGAAATCTTACTTTTTGATTTTATGACTTCTGCAACAGTTTTTTTCCTCATTTCGTTATCTATACGATTGACAATTTTAATACATACCCTTCTAGAATGAAGATTACGACCAATTTTAACTTCGTTAGTTTCTTGAAAATCAATTTTTCCATTTTAAAGTTATTAAAGGACTGATATTCTTTTCCAGCTTTATATGCAGTTTGAAAAGTGTTTGTTTTGAAAATCAAGAATACGGGGGGGGGGGGGGAGTTTATAAATAAAAATATAACAAATACTTTGAGAAGTTTAGATGTGTTTATTTCCGTAATTTTAGTGATGGATATATATATATATATATATATATATATATATATATATATATATATATATATATATATATATATATATATATATATATACGAACAAAATATATATTGCATTCTTCAGTTCATGTTTAAACTAAAAAATGATCTGGTCCCTGAAGTCTTTCATAACTATTTTCACCTTATTAATCACTAATATCAAACAAAATACTCTATCAAGAATTACTATATTCCGAAAACCTCTTTAAGACAATTTAAATTCTCAATATCCAGCAGAGGACCCCAATTGTGGAACTCATTTCTAACAAGCAAAATAAAAACGATAAACTCATTTCAACATTTTAAATGCGTTGTAAAGCAACAGCTACTAGACCTCAACATTAATGAAACAATCTCTTATTTTTAAAATTTTTTCTTTTTCAATTTAAATTTTTTTTCTTTTTTTCTTCACTTTTTCTTGAAATTCAGTTATATTACTTGCTTGGTTATTTAATAAAGTTCATTGTAAAAAAAAAAAAAAAAATCACATGTATTATAAATATTTTATTATATTTGTATTTGGTTTATATTTTGTTATATTTTGTCAACGGGGCAAGATGATAAGACTATTGTCTTCTACTTGCTCCAGTCATATATTTCACGGTAAAATGTTGCGGAAAAAAACACATCTAAACTTCTCTAAGTATTTGTTATATTTTTATCGCATCTAATGCAAAAATTAAGTTTGTTAAACGTATTAAATCTATGTCCTCTAAACCAAGACCAATTATCGTCGAACTATTAGATGTTTCTGAAAGAAATCCATTACTTACATCAGCAAAAAAATTAAAAAATGATTACAAAAATGTCTTTATAAGCCCAGATCTGACTGAGGCTGAGCGATATCTAAACTATCAATTTAGAATGAAGCGTAATAAATTTAATAACAATATATATCTAAAAACATCGCCCTTTAGATACGGTATACGAAGCAACGGTGTTTTTGAGCTCAAAAATCTCCAAACCACTGCCTAAGAACCGCTATCCTGCCTTTACTCTCCTACCAACGAAATTAAAATACAAGGGTAAAAACCTACATAATATTTAAACAAATTACAGCGTTAATTGTTACTTCACTAATGCAACATCCCTTGATAAGAAAATGAACAATACTGCAATAGCTAGAACGTTTGATTATCATGTTATTGCTGTCTTCAAAACAAACCGGTTTCAAAAAAACTCAGTTTCTAACCCCGATGGGCATAATTTATATCGCAAAGATTACTGTGACGGACGTTGAGGTACATTACTGACTTATCGGGTGGACACGGAAAAATCCGGTCAACTTTAAATTGAGATTTCTCTAAAACCACTTCCAAGTTTTCTTTCGAAGCTTTGAGTAGTCTTGAACTTGTTTATAATATCTATGACTGTAGATTTTGGGACATTTGTGCGTTTAGCAATCAAGCGATAGGAAGTCGATGGATTTTTGAAAAAAAAATTCACAACTTTTTTACGCACCTCAACTTGTTTCCTAAACATTTTACAAATCATTAATTTGTAAACAAAAATTTATCAACACCATTTAAGATAAGGAAGTAGATTTAATTAAAAAAAAAATTAAATAAAAAGCTTTTGTGGTTTTGGAGAAATCTCAATTTAAAGATGACCGGATTTTTCCGTGTCCACCCGATATTTAACTCTCACGAAGTTAACCAGTTCTTTACAAACCCTCATTAACAAGTTTGGGTATCAGTACAAGTTAATAATAAACGCATACTTATTGGGTGTATATATAGACAAAATGATGCTAATTTAATAATTTATGCCGTTGAATCTTTACTTACATAGTTACTTACCACACTAAGCTAAAAAAAACTTTATAGCAAACAAAAACATGCTGTTAGAATCATATTTGGAGTTTGTAGAGCAATTTCTTGTGAACCTCTTTTACGTTTAATTGGTGCCTTGAATATTTTCAAACTTAATACCCATCTTGTTCCACAGTTAATGTATAAAACAAAACATGGACTGTCCCCAAAAATCTTTGAAACTTATTTTAAAGAAATACACCATAAATATGCTACAACATTTTCCGCAAGCCACTTTGCTATTCCAAAATCTCATTCTAAACAGAATTCTTATTCAAATCAGAATCCTGGACCACTTTTGTGGAAAAGATTCCCAAACATTGTTTCCGAAAAGAAAACTTCTCTACATACTGATTCAAAACATTTTTTATTAAACACAAATTTTGATTTATTTTATTATAAGTCTTTCTTTTAAAATAAATCAGAAATATCAATTATAAATAAAATCAAGGTAACTGTTCCTTGTAATCATTAAAAAAAAAAAGTTAAAAATTTATTGACAATAACCATTATCACAAATCATATTTTCTCGCTTTTTATTTTTTGTGTGTATATATTTATACTCATGTATATTTGTATATTTGTACTTATTTATGTGTGTATGTGTATGTGTGTATATGTATATATGTATATAAGTATATGTATATATATATATATATATATATATATATATATATATATATATATATATATATATATATATATATATATATATATATATATATATATATATATATATATTTTTTAGTGTAATTTATTTCGCCGTTAAAAAATTTTTACATTGCATATACATTTTTATAAATTGATGGCTGGAGCAAGAAGAAGGCACATTTCGCCTTATCGCCGAGCCCCATTAAAAATTCTACATAACCGTAACATACAAATATATATATAAAAGAAACAATTAGAAATGAAATAGAAAATAACTAATATAATAAAAAAAATAAAAAATAAGAATTAATTAAGAAGCGTTAAGATGCTTAACAGTTGCTAAAATGTTTAAGAAATAAGTTAATATATAAAAAAAAAAAAAAAAAAATTCCTAAATATAAAAGAAATTGAAAAAATAAAATCTCATAATTAACACTAAATGAATATGTAACATCATCACTTATGACATCATCACTTGGATTTCTTATTCTTTTTTTTTTTTTTTTTTTTTTTTTTCTTTTTTTCCTTTTTCTTTCTTTTCCTATTCATATTATCATATATCATTGATATTATTGAATCTATTTTTTTTTATTTTTTTTTATTGTGTTTACTTTAAAATAAACATTTAAAGTCGGATTTATTGAGATCCATGAACAATAATAATCGTTTTGATTCATCCTTAAATTGCTCTAATGTAGTCTGCTTTTTGTTAACAATATCTGGAAATTTCTTCCACAGATAAGGTCCGCGGTATTTAATTGAATAGAAAGTTAATTTTAATTTATGTTTTGGAACAACAAAATTGTTTTCTGAAAACTTTGTTGAGTACCTATGGTTGATTTTATTAAAATAAGATTGAAATATTTTAGGAGACAAATCCTTTTTTGTTTTAAACATAAACAATAAAACTTGGTGTAAATTAAGTTTATATACATTTAAAGCACCGAGCACACTTAGAAGTGGTTCGCAAGGAACATTTCTGTCGGCTCCAAATACTATTCTACATGCATGTTTTTGTTTATTGTAGAGTTTCTTTAGTTTTGTATGACTAGTACTAGCCCACACAACATTACAATAAGACAAATAACTGTGAATAAAGGCGAAATATAATTTTTTCAGAGATGATATATTTAGAA